AACATACATACACATGTACGTGCACATAAAGCGTTCTTGCAGAAGAGATTATTATTATTATTTTTATACCCTGAACAGGGTATACTMAGTTTGTCACGAAGTTTGTAACACCCAGAAGGAAGCGCCGGAGACCCTATATAGTATATACATATATAAATAATGTTAATAAATGTTGAGCTGAGTCGATTTAGCCATGTCCGTCTGTCCGTCTGTCTGTATATATACGAACTAGTCCCTCAGTTTTTAAGATATCATTTTGAAATTTTGCAAACATCATTTTCTCTTCAAGGAGCTGCTCATTTGTCAGAACTGCCGATATCGGACCACTATAGCATATAGCTGCCATACAAAGTGAACAATCGGAATAAAGTTCTTGTATGGAAAACTTTCACATTTGACAAGATATATTTTTGGTATTGATTATTTTTTAAAGAAACAATGTAATCTCCGAAGAAATTGTTCAGATCGGATTACTATAGCATATAGCTGCCATACAAACTGAATGATCGGAATCAAATGATTGCATGGGAAACTTCCTCATTTTACAAGATATATTCACGAAATTTGATATTGATTATTTTTTAAAGAAACAATGTAATCTCCGAAGAAATCGTTCAGATCGGACTACTATACCATATATCTACCATATAAACCGAACGATCGGAATCAAGGTCTTGTATGGAAAACTTTCGCATTTGACAAGATATATTCACGAAAATTGGTATTGATTATTTYTTAAGTCAACAATGTAATCTCCGAAGAAATTGTTCAGATCGGAATCAAATGCTTCCTCATTTCACGAATTTTGGTATGTGTTATTGTTTGTAGAAATAATGTAATATCAGAAGAAATTGTTCAGAACGGATTACAAACTGAACACATGCTATAGTTACTAACAGAAATGCACCGGTGCAACCGAAGTTAAGGCTTTTTCTTGTTTTTTTTTTTTGATTTTTTATTTTTTTTTTGATTTTTTTGACATTGCACCGTATTTTTCGCGAATTTCGCAACGCAATCCAGGCACTTCTTCCTTATCATTATAGGCCCTTGATTGACTACATATACATAGATTCATTCTTATATAAATATGACTATTTGTATACAAATAATAACTATTGTCCGTCACCTCACTGAAGTCAAAAACATGTGTGACCTTTTTTAGGCACGTGAAAGCCATCGAGTAATTCCCGCCAATGCCGCGAAAAATTGCGYTTTTCGTATTGTCATTTCAAAAATAGCGCAGCTGCTGTTTTTATTACGAGTGTCCAAAATATAAAACATACCCTTTTCCATGGCATGTGGCACATGCAGCGTATATATGTACATACATATATACGTTTGTCTGTATGTATACAGTTGACTGCGTGAAGAAATTCTTCTACGTTAACTATTTGCGCGCTGAACAGTGAGACATTTATTAAACTGCACATATTATATTATATGACAATATTCATATGTGTTTACTGTAGTGTGCTCTGTGGTATATACTATATATTTTGAAAAAGAACAACCTCGAGACAAACTTTACCGCTCACCGCACAACAGCGTCTATCTGTAGTCGCTCGTTTCTATCTCCTGGTTGGTAAATTGAATTTGGTTCACACTAGTATCAAGTGAATTAATATTGAATATTTTCTGTATAAATTTAATCATTTTTAATTTCTTCTGACTGAAATGTGTGAAAACGTTTTTTTTTAATTTAACCCAATTCTGAGGTCAGCAGATGACGCAGAACATTTGTGGGGGTGAAAGCAGAAGGTACATTCATACATACATATATACACATGAGTACATATTGAATTTTGTAAATTATATGAAATAATAATATAGAACGAATTTCAAACAATACTAGATATGTAAAATTTCACAATCTTCGAAGGTAATTGGGCATCACTGATGCAGAGGTATGTAATGTCTCGAAATACAGCATATACATATAGATAGTACTTATGTACACACATATACAAATGTCTACAAATTGTAAGATAATAATCTCTCTATACTTTCGGTTTTAAGGAATTAAATGTTATTTATTACACATCAGCATTTGACCTAGAACATACTGATGTGCTCATAATCACGAAAATATTTGCCGCCTCACTTTCTGSTGTGAGAGTTTTTTACACTTTTTCTCTAAATTCTGACTAAATGATAGATTACAAGAGTAGGGAGATTAAACTTATCAAATTTTCAAAAAAGTTTCTAGTCACTGAGAGAATGGTTCTCCACCGAAAAGTGATTTTTATAAACATGCGCTGACTTCACGTCAGCCAAACAGCTAATACTGTCATGATGACTTCACATTTTATTTATTTTTTATTATATTGTAGGACAAAAAAAAAAAAGAAAATAAATATGTTAATTTCGGCGTAGCCCAATATGCTTCACAGGTTCTTTTGATATAGCAACTATGTACATATATGGATAACTAAATTGGAAAACGTWACTGGCCAATTCAAGTTGATAAAGGTTACTTAATAAGGAAAAATATATTTATTTCGAACTTGATCCTTCAGTTTGTATGGCAGTTATCGGCACAATAAACGCACCAGCTGACACCCGTCAAACTCAAACGAAAAATTCGTGAATTATTTATTATTATTAATTATAGTATCAATTGAACAACCAGTTCGCTTGAAATTTTGTGTTTCCCAAGAAATCAAGTATATACGGAGTCGTTAAAGATGTTACAAAAGTGTTTTGAGGAGTCTGAGGAGTTGAGGAGCTGAGGAGCTTTAAGTGAAGGTYGTGAAGTCATCGAAAACTTGCTTTATGTGTCCATACACCTCTCCTCTGTTAAACGTTAARGGAACAGTGCTTGAAAATCACTGTGTTGGCACTAGAGATATAGYAGAGGATATATTCAACACATTTTAATTCCCTAAATAAATGTTCGACAKCGACAGCCATTTTGAAGACGATAATAAATAATTGCATTATCAAATCAAATGGTTAATACAGTATACCCCTTTTGGATAGAATTTAATAAAAGGTTTAAAGGTAAAATCGTCGAGTAGAAACAAGAAAAATTTACACTCTGGAGCCATAGTAGTCAGTTTCGAATAAATTGTTTTTGTATTGAAATAAACTTATACTATAATAATCAAATCAGCCGGTAATTGTGATAAATGGTCTATTGATAAGGTTTTCCAAACATGAACAAGTTTAATCCAGTTCGTAATGTAAATGGCCATCTTATCATTCATCATTTAAAAGCAGAGAAAATTATATTTGTGAATCACTACAATAAGTAYATTATTATACTTTACGAATAAAGACGAAAGTGGTGTGGATGTGTGTGAGTGTCTTTTTTGCACGTGTTATTAGAAGGCTATGACAAATGACAGGAAACGACGTCAGACACCTTTGTAAAGACATTATACATTATAGAAAGAAACGTATAYATTAAAAAAAATCTTAAACAACTTGGTAAAACAAAACAAAACAGATATTAARCATTATACTCGTATAAAGGGGCCTGGCAGAAAGTGAGCTGCGTCAGCTTGCACGTATGTAGCAACATTTGMAAAATAATATAAGTACAATATATGTATAAGTAGTAAAGAGACTGGTCCATAAGTACAGCAATAAAGCTTTTCTAGCGTAAAAATAAACTACACAGTACTCCCACATTGTCAACGTCAGGAAACCACGAGTTAGGATCTACAGACATACACATGTATATAAGAATGTGCATATGTATGTATATAGTACATATTTTAACTAAATCGCTTTAGCGTCGACATACATGTTCAGGTTGTGCGTAGCTATTTTTGTATATGTAGGTGCTTTGGTGTACGTGAATGTTTGAAAGTTACATACATACATACATATGTATGTATATAGTTGAAATTTTTAGTACAAAACAAAAACACAAAATTTACTATAACTGCCAAAAAAAATAGAATAAAAGACAAAACACAATCCACAGATACATAATATAAACAAAAGGAAAGGATA